TCAGCAGACGAAAGCCCAAGCCTTCTCCAGCACGGCACGGGGCTTTTGTACCAAGAACTTCTGAAGAAAATTCCCCCCTACCATTGCTTTCAATACCCACACTACTTCTTTCTGAAGTGAATTACTGGATACCCTCGAATAGCAATTTAAAAACCTACAGAATGAGGCTATTCAAAAAGTACAGTCATTCTACTCTGAAGCTATTAAACCAGCATATGCTTACTTTTTTTTGACTATATTTATTTGTGCACAGGTTAAATGGATTTCTTTATTAGCTACATTATTCATATCATTACCTAGAATATTTTGAATTTATGTGCACTTTCTAAACAGGGGACACAATATGCCAGGAAATTAAGCAGTTTTTTTTTTTTTTTTTAAACTCTGTGGGGCTTACCAGTTAAACAGAAAAGTGCTTGCATATAGCACAAAATGAATATTTAGCTTTCAGGACAAATAAAGTTACTCAATGGGGGGGGGGGCATTCATGATGTTCACTATGATAAAATTATGGGATTTTTGCACTTCAGCCTCTAAAGTTGCTACAGGAAAGGTAGAAAGGAGAAGCAAACAGAAACAGAAAGCTATTCAAAAATTCCTCTTCAAAAGGCAAAACTGTCTTAGAGTTGTGGCTATAATACTATTATACATTGACAATTTTCCTCTAATGGCATTATTTATTTCAGTGAATGCATTCTTGTACTTTAAACAGAACTGAACTTTAGACTTACTACAAGAACACAGCAAAGTAGCTATAGCATAGAAGCTCTATTCAGCCGAAGAGATGAGGAAACATATTTTTGTATGAAGAGCCTCAGTGGCACACTTCCCACACTCCGGGAAGAACTTGACCATGTGACAGGTGACACCACCCAAAGACCATAGGAACCATGAGCAGTACTCTCCATCTGCTAATGTGCACACTGTCGAAACACGTGAAATACCATTTGCTTCACATACAGGACCACTGCCTAAGAAACTGAGTTAACAGAAGTCTTTGGCTAGAAAAGCCACTGTCACAGGTGGTCATGGCTGAGCAACACAGGGTTTCCCAGCAGGACAATAAGCTCACTCCTACTAAAGCAACTGCTCTTGCAAAGCTGTTCTGTTTGGGTCCTAACCTGCACATTAACCATATGCTGAAAAGAATAGTTAAATATTGCTGAGAATGACCTTCTGTTGGAGTTTTTCAAAACATATTCTCTTTATGAAAAATGACATAGTGATAGTACCACATCCATGTTTAAGTCTGTCCATTGGCACTGCGTAGTCTGGGCACCCAGTACAATGAATTGTTACAGTGTAATCACCTTAACAATATACACTCCTGATTGGCAACGGTTCATTGCTTGTCAAGCCCTGCATGCTTTTTTTTTGTTAAATTGAAAGACAAGTCACAGTTTTCATACACAACTAACATTGCAGAAGTTTCATACTTAAAGTGCACTAGAAAAGACTAGTCTAATATTTATAATAATGAATATGTTGGGAACCAGCAGTTGGCATAATGGCTATGTCGCTGAACTCTCACATAGTCGACCGCGGTTCGCGTCCCGGACCCGGTGGCTTAAAACTCACGCCAGGCGTGTGTGCGTGCGTGCCCAAGATCCTGAAAGGAGAATGGTGGAGAAGGGATTGCAGCATGGCCATCCCCCCTGGGGGGTGATTTCTCGCTTTCTGTCTCTCTCTGTCTGTCTGGCAAACGCACGCGCCCTATAGCGAAAATCTCTCCATAAATAAATAAATAAATAATGTGTTGCCTATTTTTAAAGAAATTTATCCATATAGAAATGAACACTTTCTCAAAGGGGATACAGAACAAGGGCCCTTTGGTCTTGTATTATTATAACCAACATTAAAACTTTGGAAGCTAGAAATGATAGAGCATTCTCTATCATTTAAATGATAGCATCTTTAAAAAGCAAATGTAGTTATGGAATTCAAAAGCATTTTACAGTCTTTAAAGCCACTGTAGGCTGGGATTCCATTGTTTAAATGTTTATCCTTTTATGTATATGTTGGCCAATGTCTACTTAAGAAGTACCCAAACTTTGAAAATTCCTGTTTTCCAGAAGAGTTCACCAGTAATTTTTAAACCACAACATGAGAGTGAATGGCAAGAATTCAAAGAATAACTCTGATCTGCATTCGGCTGTTTAGCACTAACCATAAATACTAAAATGGGCTCTGTGTGGGTATAATACTAGGAAGAGATTTACTTTAAATGCATCTGCATTTTATGAGCTGAAGTGACAAGCAAACCTTAGAGAAAATAAAAAACAAAACTCATAATTTTAGTCCAGGAAAGTCACCTCTGTTTCCAAGGAAAGATGATCTGTCAGTCATCTGAGCTAAAGGAGACAGTCCCAACACTAAAGGAAAAGTTCAGGCGCACAGGTCTGGAAGGTGGCGCGCAGATTAGGAATGGAATCAAGAATTTCAGTCTTGATTTTTAAGGGAAAATGAGTTTTCTTGATCCTTTTCAATTTCAGAATTAGATGCCAGCCTGTTCCCCCCTCTTTATTTTCCATCAGATGCACAATCAGATAATGTTTCTATTCATGTAGATTTGAAAGGATCCTCGCCCTGTGTGGGTTATTTTATTTTA